ATTAGTACCAATAATATGCTTCATTTTATCCTCCGTTGAATAAAATTATGACTTATATTTTCTTTCCTCGTGAATTTTATTTTAAATCGTTGAGGTTAAGGTTCTTCGCATAAGGTTAATTTGAAGAAAAAGTAGCGGAGAGAGAGAAACAACGGAAAAAGTTGCTAAAGGATTTAATTTCTCGAGGCATGGATTCCGTCAATATAAACCTAAGCTATTTGTATTAAAAAAAATGGACAAAGACCAAACCTGATAAGTTTTTGAATACTTAAAGGACTAAAATCGGTAAGTCTATAGTTAAGGGACTAAAACCGGTAAGTGTATAGTTAAGGGACCAAAACTGGTAAGTTTTTGAATAGTTAAAGGACTAAATCCGTTAAGTGTATAGTTAAGGGACCATTTTAGACCTACTACTATAGTTAAGGGACTATTTATGTCATTTTCTCTAAAAACGCAACACCTACCGAGAATTGAACCTGCAACCCAACTCTTATCTTGGAAACCATAAACCACTACACTATACTAAAAGGTTGTTGCAAGGGTGTCCAAACTATGTTATATAACCAATTCAAGTATCAATTTACCTATATATACCGTATAGCTCTGCCCCTGTGCATAGGTTTTTGTTTGACATCTCCTTACTTTTTGCTACATTTGAATATCTTTTTTTTTATTTGTTTATTTACAAATATTATTGGTGACATCTTGAATAATGACCTTGTTTTGTAGGTCTTTATTTTCTTTTATAGTTATTTCTTTTATGTGTGCACCAATTCTATTTACTATATGTCGTTGGAATGTATTCTGACATTAGGGCAGATTGACAGACTCACTGTCAGTGCCCGATGTGGAGAGCCGGGTTCCACTATAGTGAATCTGCTTTGATGAAGGAATGATTTGCCATGGCGCCTATTGGGCAGCATAGGGTCCGCTATGAGGTACTCTGGGCCACAGGGAACTTGCTATGGTGGTCCCCGCTACGATGCTACACCTTCATCGTAGCGATCATGACTAGTAGTTGGGGAGGAAAATTTTGAGACGGTGCCAAGTATGATTTTTGCGACAAATATACTCACGTAGAAATAGAGTCTGAATTACTAGTCCGGGAGAGACATATTAACACTGCAATAATCTTAACTCGCCTATGTTGTTTCCCACCCTTAACAAATTCGGAGGGGATTCACTACACACTTCGTCATTAGATACAAAATCAAACATGCTACAAAATTAGAAATGACGTTTCAGATTCAACGAAATCAACAAAACAATCGTCAAAGGTTATCCTGAAAAACTATTACCGAGGTCAACACTTAAACCTAAACAACTAAAATAAAGAAAAAATCAAGTGCCTTAAAATCAAACCAACAACCTTGAAATTCAAACCAAAAGTCCTATTAGATCAAAATTAATATCTCAAAGCTAATAACGCTGACAAAAATCTCACTCAAATCCGTTTACTAAGAATATTGACCGAAGTCAATCCGTTCAAATAAAAGCTTAAACTAAGAAACTTACCCAAAAACTCTCCCAAACACCTCGAGAACCAAACCACCCACCCCAACAAGCCGCAAACACAACACAAAAGCTATGAAAAGGGGGTAAAACAATAAAAATACATAAAAGCAAGCAAATGACCACGAGAGTCAATCTCGCTCGTTGTCAAAGCGCATTTTGTGATCGAAGTGTTAAAACTCTCTTAAGTATTGTGAAAAAACTTCAAAGTCCATCATTTAATTTTCTTAACAACAAATTTATGTTATGACTGTTAAAGAAATATTGCATAAACTATTTATCTTTCTAACAACATAAATAAAGTGTCAAATATAAGATTAATAACAATGAATTATATATATATATTTTTTCCCTTTCTATCACAATATTTTAAATTTATTATTATTGAAAGTAAGAAAACATTTTTTGTTTTAATTTTTCCACATCAAAGGAAGACTTGTCTTTTGGAGAATTATTTCAATAATCTACGAAGGTATGCTAATTAGATTGTCAATTAACCAAGACTTTTTACATCAACTTTTATATTTTCCTTCTTTTTATCAGCAGTTTTAATTTGAAATTATAGCTTGAGAATAAATTTTAGCAATTTTTTCAATTAGGGAATTCTAAAATGGTAACTTAATTTCAATTTCTCCTTTTTATTATAATATATTTATTTGAATATTTATCAAATTGTGTATTAATAATTCAAAAACATATTTAATATTCTTTTTATAACCTCGTGAAACACAAACAAGTACATAAATAATTACATAACTAATTAACGGTTAAATGAATTCTAATTACTAATACATGAATAATTCTAATTAGCTATCAATTAATGATTTAAAAAGATATTTAGTATTTTCTTATAACCATGCGAAACACAAACAAGTACACTAATAATTGTATAACTAATTAATGGTTAGACGACCTCTAATTACTAATACATGCATAACTCTAACTAGCTACCAAATGAATGATTCAAAAACATATTTAATATTTTCTTATAAGTTATAACCGCGCGAAATGCTAACAACCACACTAATAATGCATAATTAATTAACGATTAAACGACATCTAATTACTAATATACGCATAATTTTAATTAGCTATTAAATTGATGATCCAACAATATATTTAATATTTTCTTCTAACAGGGCAAAACATAAACAAGTACACTAATAACTGCATAACTAATTAATGGTTAACGACCTCTAATTATTAATATACGCATAACTCTTATTAGCTACCAAATTAACGATTCAAAAATATATTTAATATTTTCTTATAACCGCGTGAAACACAAACAAGTACATAATAATTGCATAACTAATTAACGTTTAAACGACATCTAATTACTAATACAAACATAACTTGAATTAGTTGCCAAATGAATGATCCAAAAACATATTTAATATTTTCTTATAACCGCGCAAAACGCAAACAAGTACATTAATAACTACATAACTAATTAACGGTTAAACGACCTCTGAATACTAATATACACATAACTCTAATTAGCTACCAAGTAAATGATTCAAAAACATAATTAATATTTTCTTATAACCACGCGAAACACAAACAAGTACACTAATAACTACATAACTAATTAGCGGTTAAACGACCTCTTATTACTAATATACGCATAATTTTAATTAGCTACCAAATTAATGATTCAAAAAAATATTTAATATTTTCTTATAACTACGCGAAATGCAAACAAGTACACTAATAATGCATAACTAATTAATGATTAAATGACCTCTAATTACTATTATACACATAATTTTAATTAGCTATCAAATTGATGATTCAAAAATATATTTAATATTTTCTTATAACGGGGTGAAACATATACAAGTGTATAACTAATAACTGTATAACTAATTAATGGTTAAACCTTAACTAATAACTGTATAACTAATTAATGGTTAAACAACTTCTAATTACTAATATACGCATAACTCTAATTAACTACCAAATTAATGATTAAAAAGCATATTTAATATTTTCTTATAACCGCGCGAAATGCAAACAAGTACACTAATAACTGCATAATTAATCAATGGTTAAACGACATCTAATCACTAATACAAACAAAACTTTAATCAGTTGTCAAATTAATGATTGAAAAACATATTTAATATTTTCTTATAACCGTGCAAAACACAAACAAGTACACTGCATAATGTGGGTTTAGGGTTTAGGGAGCGCTTTACCCCCCAATGTGGGACTTCCCTGCGCGAATCCGAATTTAATCGAGCTCCAATGTGGATACCAGACACCGGGTGGGAAACCAAAAAAAAAAGTACACGGCATAACGAATTAGCGGTTAAACGACCCCCAAATACTAATATACATAGCTACCAAGTTAATGATGCAAAAACATATTTAATACTTTCTTAAAACCGCGCGAAATGCAAACAAGTACACTAATAACTGTATACTAATTAACGGTTAAACAACATCTGATTACTAATATACGCATAACTCTAATTAGCTACCAAATTAATGATTCAAAAACATATTTAATGCTTTCTTAAAACTGTGCGAAATGCAAACAAGTACACTAATAACTGTATAACTAATTAATGGTTAAACGACATCTGATTACTAATATACGCATAATTGTAATTAAATACCAAATAAATGATTCGAAAACATATTTAAAGTATTATTTTATAATTGCGCGAAACACAAACAAATACACTAATAACTGCATAACTAATTAACGATTAACCGACCTTTAATTAATTAATAATACACGCATAACTCTAATTAGCTACCAAACGGGCCTAGTGTTTGTCTCAAACCTGTAATAGATCCCTCCAAACGGCTACTCGAATAGTCACTCCTCGGTTCATATATATTTAGTCGAATCCCACAAGTACAATGAAACTTTCATCTGTCTGTTGAATTGCAGAATGTTAAATTTTTGAGAGTCAGTTCAACAAATGTACTCTTCATGCTGATTGAAATTGATAACACAAGTTTGGGTTTCATGACTTTTCTTAGGGTTTAGAGTTGACGGCTGCTTGATTAACCACTGGGATTTTTTTAAAAATTGGTACATTTCTTTATCTTGGATCGATTCTTCTACAATGTTTGTTGCACCAATACCCAATTTTTCTCCAATTTGAATGAATTTCTAGTACTTTAAGGACCCAATTTTGATTCTTGAAGTTTAATTCACTTATACCTACAAAATCTTGGTACTTCCTCCATAGAGAGACTTGTGTTAGGTTTTTGAACTGTAACTTGTTTGAATTACTATATGCATATATGTATCATATGTGTGTGATGGTGTCAATGTAATAAAAATGACCTTTTATCTTTTTTATGTTTGATTGATGCATCTAAATTTTGTCTTGAGATTTGGTACATTTTTGGAAGCAGTTATTCAGAAAAAATTTATATGGCATGGCATGCTATGTACTTCTACACCTAGTTTTCTACCATGTTTATCTTCGGCATGTATATTTCTTTAGCCTTTTGTTTCAGTGTATTACACAAGTATTCTGATGTGAAATCACTTATGTTTACCAGGATTGCTTCTGGTCTTGGCCATCCTGCCATGGCTAATAATTCTCATTTCACTGGCATGCAGGTATCCCTTCCAGAATTTAAGTTTGTTAACTTCATTTTTATTAATAAATTCTATGCTTTTTCTGGTATTTATACATCAAATACTTTGGTATCTTATGAAATCTGGGTTAGTAAAAACTAAGGTATATTCTTTTTGTACATGTATACTGGACTTTTCCTCATATCAATGAATCCATTACTTTATCAAAAGGCTTCTTGGAAGGCATAGTAGTTCTCTGAATGGAGGTGTAATGATTATGCAATCACTGTCATTCATATGTGTGTTGTCATAATAGCAAAAATTATAGGCTTTCACTGATTTATTTGAGATCTATTAGGAGAGCAACTGTTCTAGGTTTAATTATATTCAATAATTTGTCTGTATCATACACATGTTCTATCGGTAGAATCTTTCATCATGCTTATATATGCCTAGACAATATACATAATAGGAAGTACGTATTTGTTAAATCTTCGTGAGTATTATCCCAATTTGTTTTATCTTACTTGTGTTTACAGTTGAAATTGAAATAGGAACAAATTTGAGCCAAAAAATAAATAAATTCATTGCTCTGTATGTCGTTGCTATGATAGCCTTAAGAGAACAAAGAGGTGATATGGTTTGTCAGTCTCCTCTGTTTGCTGTGGCGGTGGATATTTAGAGTAAGAATGATCTGAAAACTGATGTGTTAGTAGGTAAAAGGAACCTGCTGAGATAATCGTATTATCACGTGCCCTTTTGTGCTTAGTCTTTACTATCAACATTGTTTTACCTGGATAGTATTGTTTGCTAAAGTGAGCTCTGTCCCTGTCATTGTTAAGTCGTATTCTATATTTAGGTACAAATAATAGTTAAAATATAGTGCTCATAGTAGTGGCTTTGCGAGCATAGAATAGTCGAGAATAGCTTCCATGAAGGACTAATATAGGTTGATCTGCTTTCTTGGTGATGCATATTCCTCCTAAAATGTCTAGATGAAAAGATTACTTGGTTGGAGTCTTGTTGACCGCTCTAAGGAGAGGATAAGGAGGATGAATAGGTTATCTAAAATCATCGCCTTGGAGAGGATACTTATGGCTCTCATCTTCGGAGCCTAACAACTTTGATTAAACTTCTGAGAATGAAGATAAATAGAGCTTAAGGTCTAGTGACAGTGACTCCTATTCCAATCGTTGGATGTTTTCCTTAAGTTACTATATGTCCTTTTTAAAATGAAATATGTGATTGCTCATTTTGCATCACTTGCCCATTGGTTTGTTTTCTTTTATTCTTCCAGCTGATGATGCTTTCCTGTTCCATACCTTTTTAGTGCAGAAGTTGATACATCTTCTAAGTTTAGACGAGAGTGAGGTGGATGATTTCATATTTGCTTAGTAGCATTTTAGATTTTGTTTCTAAATTTTGAAAAAATGTTTGGAAATTATTTCAAACAGTGTTTGTCTATCAAACTGACCCATTGTTTCAACTTCAAACTTGAAATACGGAATCTGAAGTTTGCAAACCAGGTTTTAGGAGTTTCTCTTTTTTTTTTTTTTTTTTTTTTAAGTTTCACTGACAAAACTTCGATTTTGTTTCCATTTTCAAACACAACTTTGACTTTCAAATATATATATATGAATTCAAATGTCAACCAATTCATCTTTCTCAATAAAAATATCAATCAATTCATGTCCAAATGCCTACTCGGAGTGGTGCTTTTTTCCTGACCAATTCTCAGTGTTAGTTTGTTTTTGAAGGTTTTGGCATAAGTGAATAGATTCAGTACTCTGCAATTCCCTGGGAAGGACAAGGAGAGACCTTAAGGGCTGATTTAAATTTTAGACTCTGTGGAGTATAAGGTAGTAGTTGGCTTGGATAGGTGTTCGCTAGGTAGTGGGTGGGGTGGGATGATAATACTTCAGATGTCTATCAAAAAGTAATCCCACCTTGATAGAATAACAACTCCAACTTAATAAACTACTATAGAGTTGCATATTAACTAACTTTGCTGAAGTCTCACTAATATATTTTGTGGTTCTGTCTAGTTTGACAAAATAAATTGCGTTAAGAAGATGTGTTTCTTACACCCAAAAAGAAAAGATACTTAGGCCATCAGAAGCTGTTGAACCCAAGCCATTAGGTAAAGATGTGTATCATTTTGTCTGTTCTCATCTAACGCTGTGATAGATCATCTATTTGTTACGTCTCTTTATTCTCATTTCAAGCTCTGGATTGAATAGATGAAGTCATGAAGAATAGGTTTTCATCTTACTCTTTGGTTTGACTTACGAATTCCGGTCTTGTCCTTCAAATTAATTTAGGGAGTTGTGCATGAATACAAATTTTCAACAGTGCTGCATTGATTAGAAAATCTACTAAATATGATCGGAAAGTAGCTGTATTTCTGATTTCATCTGTTCTTCCTTGCATGGATATATTGGTTGAGAAGCCTCCTATACCTCCTCTGGCGGGTCCTCCTCAGGGTGCTATTCCATCCATGTCACTGCAGGTAAAGTTGTGGAGTCTTGGGATAAATGGTTTTTGAGTTCTAGAATCGCTATGATAACTATTTTTCCCACATTTTTAGCAGTTCCAGCCTATGCTTCCACCCCAGCAGGCACAACCATATGTTTCTGGGTCATCTCAACACTTTCAGCCACTTGGACATGCAAATGTTGTGATGCCTCCTCAACCTTCACAAATCCAATTTCCTCAGCCTATGCAACAGGTTGCTGGTAGACCTGTAGTAGGAGGGCATAGTATGTCTCAGGGACCACCTAATCCCCATGATTTTCAGCGAAACCCTCCGATGTCAAATAACCACATGCCTGGTTCTGGTGGCCCAAGTTTTCCGCTATCTTCTTCATATAATGTAAGACCTGGAGAAGATCTTTTGTGATTATTGTTATTGTCAGTTTCGGTGTTCCATTCATCATATTGATGAAATTCATCATTTTGGTAACCATCTTCATCTTGTGTTTAATAGCAGGTAAATGCAGATTCTTCAAGCTCCCAGTATCAGACACAGATACACGATCATAGGTTTCCATCAGGGGTACAACCCTGGATGCCAACAAGTAATCATAATGTGAATTCTGCGACAACTATGCAAAATACTGGAGAACTAGCAGCTCCGTTGGTTCTTCCGGTGAGAATTCAATGTGTTTTATTTTTTTTGATAATAGTAACTGTGTATTCACACCAAAAAGCCCATCAAGCAAAATCTGATGGGGTGGGATTTACAACCCCAAAGGGCTTCATCGAGATTAAAAGACTAGATAGGAGGCTTTACAATTGTCCTTTGAACTCAACTAAACTATCTATTTCCCCCACTATATCATGTTTACACCAAAAATACAAAAGACTTATACTCTTCATCTTGATCTTCTGGAAACAGCTAGCTTTTCCTTCAAAACATCTTTCATTTCTCTCTTTCCATAAAGTCCACCAAACACATGCTGGGATACTTCTCCACCAATTTTCTTGTGATCCCCTTCTTCCAACTCCTTCCCAGCTTTTCAACATATCAAAGGAGGTCCTGGGCATTACCCAACTTATCCCAAGTAAACAGAAGAACATGTTCCACAGATTTACAGCTGTTTTGCAATGAATGAACAAGTGACTATTTATCTCTGCCTCTTGCTCACACATAAAACACCTAGAGCAAATTTGAATACCTCTTCTCTGTAGTACTTCGTGTGTTAAACAGGCTCTCCTGACCACCAGCCAGCTGAAACATGAGATTTTGTGTGGTATTTTAACCTTCCAAATCAGTTTCCAAGGCTCATTGTCTGGCTGAAGTTCAAACTCCAATAACATGATTTCACGGTAAAAGACCCCTTGCTATGTAGTTTCCAAATTGGCAAATCAGAACCTACGCTTACTCCTGGGAAAGCATTTAGAGTCTGCAGCAAATCAGCTACTATATTTATTTCCCAGTCATTCATGGCCCTCCTAAAAATCAAGTTCCACCCTTGAGGACTCCATACTTGTGCCACCTTATCCATCTGTTGCAAGCTCAAGATGTATAGATCTGGAAAGGTAGTCCTCAGAACCTCTTCCCCAATCCACAATTCATTCCAGAAACTTGTCTTCTCCCCATCCCTAATTCTGTACTTCAGGTTGTTAATGAAAGAGGGCCACAGTCTTCTAATTGTTTTCCACACGGAGCATCCAAAAGTACCAGTCACCTCCTCAGTGGTCCAACTATTCTGGAGCCCATATTTTTGTGAAATGAATCTCCTCCATAGTGCCACATCTTCACTACAGAATCTCCATAACCATTTCTTCAGTAGACTTTCATTCTGTGCGCCTAGCTTCTTTATGCCCAGCCCACCCTGTTTTTTGTTAAGGATCACCTTATCCCATTTTACTAGATTGTACCCCTTCTTCTCCTTGTTGCCCTGTTTATTGTACCCATTTTACTTAAATAATGTTGAGATCTGTTAATAGGATTTGTAAGTTGAAGGTGACAGGTTCTTTATTTTTTTGGATTTCAGGAAGCAAATAACGGGGTTGACTCTGTTGAGACTACTCCCTCAGATTGGATTGAGCATACTTCTCGAAATGGGAAAAAGTAAGCGATTCCCCTTTTTGTCTTGCAGAAAGTAACATGCTAAGGTTAATGGGTGTGAGTTGACTGAGAGTCAACAGTTGAATTCGATGATTGTGCAAGTTTTTGTAAGCAAATTAAGATTCCAGTGAACAAAAAGCTGTAACTGTGGTAAACAAGAAAATGAGCTCTGCAAAACTATCATTTTTCATTCAGATCCAATCTTTTATACCACTTTGAGTGCCCCAGACATAAAAAGGAGCATTCCGGATTTGGCTTTTCGGAATCCTTGCTTTAGGATTATATTCACATAGATTACTCATAAGAATAAGACGTTCAATTCCCTAGAACACGTATGATTGAGAGTCATTAGACCTTTGCTAATAATTCAGTTGTTCCCTGAGGAGTTCAATCTGGGCAGCTAGACAGAGTGGGGGTGTATAAGTACCCAGGAGAAATATCTATCCCTCTAATAGAAGCTGAAGATGCGAGTTTAGAACTTTCACCATGATTTTTAGATCGCCTTGGCAAGTGCCATCCACCCACATATTAAATGTGCCACTTAGCTCAGATGTATTCTCGTCAGGCAAGTTCACCACAAGCCTGCACGTTTTTCCTCTTTATTGCTAGAAATATCACTTTCCAAGCTTTGTCTCTAAAATCTTCTTGTGATCCTGCCGTGAGTCCAAATAGGGTTCTTCACATTGGCTAGCATACCCCAACTGATGTCTCTCATGTTTAACATCTTATTCCATGGCCTTGCTATAGTGTAACTTTGACAAATTAGTAGTGTTTGGTAGAATGCGTACAATAATTGTCTTATACCTAAATGCTTCTATCGGGGCACTTTTTACTACGTTTTCTTAAAGGTAAAATAGTTTTACTACTGATAACATCATACAAGTTGTATACCAAAAAGTAGAAAATCCATAGAAAGATCTGATTCTCCATAAGAGACACCTTAATCTCTATACAATTTGGATTCTTTCGGGTGCACCAAAAAGAAATTATAAATAGGAGGCTTATTCTTCAAATTTTTTTGATGACCGTGGTGTTCAGGCCAGCTTTCGGCGCACCTCAACAAAGTTCACGGGATACCTCCCATCTCCCACCAGCAACATGTACCAAGTAACATTGTCCACCAAGGCTAGGGCAGATGAGAAGAAACACCTAGTGTTTTTTTGTCTCCGTTGGGATTTGATTTTGAGACCTCATGGCTCTCAACCACTTCAATAACCATTAGGCCATACCCTTGGGTGCGCTATTCTTCAAATATACGAAATCACTTTCTATCCGTTCAAAAACTTTCATATTTCTGCCTCTCCAGAACGATATAAGAGTTAGTGGAGCAACATCTTACGCCCTTTGTCTTCTCTTCCTTCTTTGAAAGTTTAACTCGGTAGTGCCTCCTTGACTGTTCTTGACATCCTCCATTGTAAGCTGAACCAATTCAAAGTCCCCTTCCACAAAACAAGATGCTACCTGACAATGCACAAAGAGATGATCTGTCTTTGCATGAATTCTTATACAGAAAACACCAATGGACATATGTAATCCTCTTTCTATTCCCCCCAGTTAAGATCGCTACTCTTACTGCCAACCAAGCCAAAAAGACACCTTTCTTGGTGATGCAGCAATCCAAACTGATAGGTATATGGTGGTTGGGTATTTTCTAGCCAAAAGCTTATGGTAACACTTAACAAGTAATGCAACTTAACTGGGAACCTCCTGTTGCTCCCAAGCCCATCTCCATGACCTGTTCGACAAGAGATGCGTTGACCTTGTAGAGCATTTCAACTAAGCTTTTAGGTTTCACTATGTTCCTAATTTGAAGGTGTTCCTCAATGGGGTCCCCTCATGCATCCTTACATGTTTGGTCTTTTTTCTTTTTTTTTTTGTAGATGTTTGGGAATATGAGCCTCAAAATACTCTTTTCACACCACTTGTGTCCCAAAAGTTTTTCATTGTCCCTAGTTTCGTACCCAACCGAAATGTGATTTGTCCGCTGAACTCGTCCCTTTCCTTCATAATATTCCTCTGCAAATAATATTCAAAAAGAAAAGATGTTTTAGATCCCCTTCAACCATTCCATGTTTTTCTGCTATCACTCTCCTTCGTTGACCATGTTCCTCAATCTCAAATCTCTATATCCATTCACATAGTAGCGCCTTGTTGAAAACACAAAGATCTATCTGTGTGGCCTTCCCATTTCTTTGGTACCGTAACTGTCTCCCATCTAATTAAGTGAAGCTTCCTAGTCCGGTTTGGTGACTCCCACAAGTTCCTTTGAAGGCTCTCTAATTTAGACGTAATACTAACTAGTGCTTGTGGCGGTGACATGAAGCATGTAGGAATGGTCGACAAAAGTATCCCTTACTCCCTTCCTCCCTTCCAACAAATAGCTCTTCCGCCATCCATATATTTTCTTTTCTACTCATTCAGTCTTCAGATTTCTCCTTGTTTGGTCCTTGTCAGATGGCACAGGCACACCAAGGTATATATTGGGTAGAGCTCCAAATCAATATCCTCCATTGCACCACCCACTCAGATGATCTCAGACTTTGTGGGGTTAATCTTCAGACGGCATAAGAAAGATGTATCAAATTTTCCAATAGGTTAATTTCTGCATCACAAACTCTATTGTCTTGTCTATGAACAAGTGTTGGGTAAGTTTGTCCCCATCACTGTCAAGAAGTCCATCAAGTATCCACCTCTAGTGCTTTGTTTATCACTCTTCTTCCACTAGCACTGGAGATAATAGGTTCCTCTGTTTCAGTCCTCTTCTTTGCTAAGACATCTCATGAGCTGCTATTCATCGCTACCAAATTCTACCTGACTATTGATTAGCAGAACTTGATACACCTCTATCAAATGACTTCATTTTGACCCTATTTCTTTACCATCATTCATCTTTTACATGTGGCTTCATGCTAGTAGGTGCTAATTTCAGCATCATTTGATGTTCACTAGGCCAATCATGGTCACTAATGTTATTATATTTCCTTTGGCTTTATTACTTCAGCTAATTAGTAACTTTCTTACATTTTTTGAATTTTTTAGATACTATTATAATAGAAGGACAAGAATCTCTAGCTGGGAGAAACCTCTAGAGCTGATGACAGAAATGGAGGTGAGGTTACTTGTCATCTAGATATTAGTTTTTTGCAGATAATTATGATTAGTTTTAATCCAGTTTCTTGTACTTATCCATAAAAAATGCTGTATCCAATTCTTTTTGTATGAAGCTTCATAGAACCACTTTTTCTTCCCTAAACATTTGTGATTTCTGTCTAAAGTTTGGTGAGAGAGCAGATCTCTTTGATCTTAGTATACTATGTAGTCTTCATTTGGGATTTGAATTTGCCTTTTTTCCAATATAGTTCTAAAAGTTTTTATATTTAACACCACTGTTCTAAAAGATGTGTTAAGTATATACATGGCATGGTTATATTTGGTGCATCTTTTCGCAGACAACTTTTCTTCTTTTTGATTAATGTAATGTTGTAGCAAGATGGAGAGAGGAAACTTGATGTAAGATTTAGGGTCACATTTATCATTCTGGTTTGCAGAAGAATAATTTGGCTGGTTGCACCCAAGAGTGTGGCCTAGTGTCAACGAAGTGGATTGAGAACCATGAGGTCTCAGGTTTAATTTCCAGTAGAGATAAAGACATTAAGTTATTTCTTACCATCCGTCAAAGGTTGGATGGAAAAAGTTACCCGGTATTACTTCATCATCCATCTCACCATTTCCTTGGATTATAGACCCAAAATACTTGAAACTCCATTTCTGGAGATGACTTAGAGTATCAATCCTCACTTCCGTTTTATAGAAACTTGACAAATATTTACGAATTTAAGATAAATTTAAATTAACTAACTATTCAAGTTTATGTTAGCAAGATTTTTTTACATGGAATGCTAGTTACTAGCTCTTTTCCAAGAGCTAATAGGGGAGAAAAAACATATGTTCAGAAATTAATTTCATCAAAAAAGAGCATAACTGTAGCTTATGAGTTTCAAACTTGACAAAATGAAATCTCAGTGCATGATTTCAACACCCTTACCATCACGCTGAAAGTCTTGTTTGTGTTAAGGGTGTTCAACATTAAAAATATACTCAGAAACAACAAAATTTGATATATATATATATATGTATATATATATATATATATATATATATATATATATACACAATGTAATTTTCTGTCGAACAATGTTTAATTGATCACCCTTGTTGCAGTCGTAGCTCCACCACAACTTGGCAACGGTTCCTTCCTGCAACTTAAAATGTTGGTCAAAACCTGCATCTGCAACACTTCTTTTTCTAAAAACAAACTACTATTCCTCTAATTTACACTCAAAATAGATGAAGCTTCAAATACCACTAGGAGGAGACAAATCCACAGGAGGTGCAGGTTTCGGCATAGGACGTGAATCATCTAGGCCTAATGCTAGATGACAGCGGTGATAAGTCAGGAGTGGTGTCACTATGTTCGGAGATGTAGAAGTAACCGTAGATTTCTCAAGTCTGTGTTGGTAAGACCTCATATATATCAGAATGATTAGAAGATGTAAAAATAAAGTTGAGACAAGGAATTTGACGTTGGTACTTGAGTTATTTACGAAGATTAGTTGAGTAGAACGATGTCCGTTTTGAACTCAAGAATAACCAAGGAAGACACATTTGAGAGTATGACGGACTAACTTATCTTTCTCAGGGGCTAAGTTATGAACAAAACATGCACCCAATGGTGTGACCTAGTGGTCAATGAAGTGGGAGAAGAACTATAAGTTCTGGGGTTCAAATTCCGGCGAAGATAAAAAACACTAGGTGATTTGTTCCTATCTGTCTAAGGCTTGGTGGACAGAGTTTTCTGGTACCTGATGCTTGCATGAGGTAGCGGGTAGTCTTTGAAATTAGTCGAAGTGCATGCTAGTTGGCTCGGATACCATTGTTATCAAAAAGAAAGTTATGAACAAAACATATGCTCCCAAACACACAAGAGAAAAGAGTATAGATGTGAATGAGGAAACAGTACTGAATAAGAAATCTGATTCTGAATGGAAGATGGATCATACGATTAATTAAATAGCACGACGTGAGAACTGCATTGTACAAAGTGCAACGGAATATGGGATTGAATGAGAAGAGTGGTGTATGTACATGATGTCTAATGAATAATTCCATGGTGAGTCATAAACTGTTGAAACTTGGAGGATAAGTATTCTTACTACAAAAAGTACTAATAGAAACACAAAATTGATTTTGTATTTCAGCACAAAACCTCTTAAATATAGAAAATAACTCAAATAATCTTTCAACGTGAAAATCCAAGTACATCTTGGATAAGCATCAATGAAACTAACGAAATAACAAATTCCTAAGGTTGAACCGACTCTACTAGGACTCCTATCATAATGAACTAATGAAAAAACAGACTTTGCATGACTCACAACACTATGTGGAAAGGTAGTGCTGGTGTGTTTTCCAAGCTGATACAACTTACAATTTAATGTTGGCAGACTAGACAAACTAGCATCTTCTGTTGCTTGAATAACCTTGGATGTCCCAAATGTTTGTGAATCAAGTCTCGAGGATCTGTAATTGGACATGTTGTGGAGAATTAGTAGAGGTAAGGTAGTAGAAACCTTGTGGTTTATGCCTTGCACCAATTGTCTGTCTCGTGCTCCTTCATAACAAAAGAGTCGTTGAGAAATATTATGCATTTAAGGCACAGTCAAACAACTAACGGATGCAAGATTAAAATGACAACTAGGAATATAAAGAACAGATTTAGAGTGAGTGACAAAGAACAGGGAATTAACATGTCCAATAACTTTTGCTAATGTTGGGATCCCATTGGCTAAAGTAACAATAGGACGAGACTGTGAATAAATAAATATTTGACTGAAGTCATTTATTACTAGAAATGTAATCACAAGCGCTCGAGTCCCTGATCATAGTCCAAGGGTATTAGACTGTGAAATATAAGCAAAATATTTACTAGTAATATTAGTATTAGACTGAGCAACCGAGGCCACTTGTGGTGATGTCAACTTACTTGCTCGATATTGAAGATACTCATTATAGTCCTCTTCAGATAAGTAAAACCCTTGATTACTTGCGATGTCAGTCTAAGCAACATGCACATTCTTGGGTGGTCGACGCTGCAGAGAAAAGCATACTTCACGAGTGTGTCCAAGCCTATTACAATAACTACACTTAGGTTGAAATCTTCCAAAACGACCTCTTCGTTGTTGGTTCTCCATAGACAGGGATGTCGATTTTCTGGTATTTGAGATGCAAGAACAGAGGAGTTAGCAGTTGGTGATAAGACCACTGTGTGAATACTGATGCGTCAAGGTGAAGTAGTCGAGAGAATACTTCATCAATTGTAGGGATAGTGGGACTGGAAAAATCTGGTCACACACAGAATTAAGGTCATTTGGAAGTCCAACAAGTCTAAGAACTAGAGACATATCCATTTTCTGTTTCGTTAAGTTTGTCATTCGAGATAACACATCATAAAAACTAGATATGTCATTAGTGTATAAAGTGCGGGCCTTTTTCCAAATTTAGTAAATGTCTGGAATGGACGAATCTATTTGGGCGGATTAGGTGGTGATCGAAATCTGCAGAAAAATGGAGGGATTGGCTCGGAACTACTGGGCGACCCCACAGGGGGAAAAACAGCTCAAAAAGTGATTAGAACAGGCATCACACACTGGCGTGTGTGTCTGACACACCATTGGCATTGGAACTCCGGAGGGTGTGTGGATGGGGTTCTGCTGGAACTGCTTTTTGGGGTTTGGTCGCTGGAGCTTTCTGAATCTCGTGGTATTGTTAGTTTTTGGAGAACACTGGTAGAAAGTGGAATTGATGTGGACAACTACTTAGGTCATTGGAAAATTGCATGGTGACTGAAATTTTCTTCCCGAAAGAAGCTGGTATTTTGCACAACTATATTTTCTCACCAAGGAACAGATACTGTGTGAGAAAGCATCGGAAAATATTATTACTGATAAAAAAGCACCAGAAAATATTATTAAGATGTGTATCTACGTTATGACACTAAGCCCTATTTGTAGTTATATTCTACACAATACATAGTAATCCTTTTCCAGGATTGTACTGCTGGAAGTTGCTGATTTCTACTCCTGAAATACTGTTTATGTTCAATTTTTTGACTTGACCTGCTTTCATGCTGTTTTCATTGGGGACAGAGGGCAGATGCATCAACTGACTGGAGAGAATTTACAAGTCCTGTGGGAAGGAAGTGTGTAACTTATATATTTTCTAGTCCTCTATCCAATTGTTCTTCTATAGTGGGTATTTTTGTGTGTTATTTATGCATAATGCCGAGTGCTTTGATTATTTTCTGCAGGTATTACTACAACAAGGTTACTAGAAAGTCAAAATGGAAAATGCCTGATGAAGTCAAGGTGATGTTAGATTTTAAATCCAATAAGGGTTTGTTCCTTGCTTTAAATGACATGATAAGAAAGGACAATATTCTGTTTTCTCTGATACACTGTTTCTCTCAAAATCTAATTATATACATTCACAGTTGCTAAGCATGATAAGAAGGGACAATATTCTGTTTTCTTTGCTACTCTATTTCTCATAAAATCTAATTATTTATACATTTACAGTTGGCTCGTGAAAAGGACACTATTTCGCACGCCTCTGATTTTGGATCCATTTCTAGTATTAAAACATCATCCCCGGGTGCAGATGGTTCATTTGTCTCGGCACAAGGAGCTATGACAAGCCCAATTGCTGTGTCACCAGTTGCTAACTTACCAGCTATTGTGGCTTCAGAATCATCAAGTTTATCTGGTAAGGTTTCTTCTCCGACGATTGACGCAGTCGAAATGCAGAACTCTTCAGAACCTGCTTCGCCAGCTGTTGCTAATTCAGAGAAAATTGGAATAGCAGTAACCTTGGGAAATTCTGTCACGATACCAGTGTAGGCTTTCAGATTTGTATGTTCTAAATTTGCCTCTGGCTTGTATTGCTGTCATATTTGGATTTCAATTTCTGCAGTAGTTCTGAGACTACTTCAGCTCAAGATGCAGTAGCATGTGGCGATGGAGTTTCTCCGGAGAATAGGGAGGTACATTACCCTTTTGAAACACTTATGCGATGATTTAATTACTAGTGGTTAAAAACCAAGAAAGATTTTCTTAGCTGTTATGCTGGATGTTGATCCAGTCTGTAGCGCAGTTGTTAGTCACCGGCTAACAGGTGAAGGTTGTGCTCCGATGAGCTTCTCTTTTGTATTTTGTGCTTGATGTGTACCTGAAATGCAGGAAGTTAAGCAAGACGCTGCAATAACTGGAATAGGAAGTGCTACTCCATCAGAAGAGAAAACAGTCGAGCTGGGACCATTAGTTTATGAGAGCAAAGTGGTATATTTTATTATTGTTATATTGTCCCTTTTAATGTATGTCTCAAAATTACTCTCCCTCCTTTTTTAAGTATCTGATTTTATTGCCTTGGCTTATTGCTTAATTTGCTTGTTATGATATCCTTTTGCACATTGTTTTCAACTTTTGACTGCTAAATTTAGGAGGCAAAGAATGCATTCAAAACTCTTTTGGAATCTGCTAATATTGGGTCTGACTGCACGTGGGATCAGGTTTATTACTTGCTTGTTTTGTGCATACTGTGAACAATCAAGGAATATCATCTGACATGAATTGTATTTGAAAGGCCATGAGAGCAATAATCAATGACCGAAGATATGGTGCTCTAAAATCCCTTGGTGAGCGGAAGCAAGCTTTTAATGAGGTATCTCTCTGAGTAGGCATTCAATGATGATGGTTGATGGAAAATTTCCCTTTCCAGTTTGCAATATTGGCTACATAACAAATATCTGGAATGGGTTAATTGCTTCTTCAATGTTTCAGCATACTCTATTCCAAAAAGAATTAAGGTGTATTGCTATTATGTAAGATCTGTGTTCTGTTCCAGTATCTGAGCCAAAGGAAAAAACTGGAAGCTGAAGAGAGACGTGTTAAACAGAAAAAAGCTCGGGAAGATTTCAGGATAATGTTAGAAGTAAGTGGAATTTTCTTCTGCGAGTGTCTTTCATTCGATATATCAGAATGTGTAAGAGGCTGGTATATCTCACTTGTTCAAAAGAAAAACTGATATTTTTCACAACAATCTCTGTTATTCTCAATCTTACAGGATTGCAAAGAGCTTTCACCATCCTCAAGATGGAGGTTTGTCTTTCATTTGTAATGCTAAGTTGTCTGCTGCTTGTTTTCTAATGTTGGTCATTGTTTGTATTTCTTTTGTACCTGGAAGTTGCTTTATTATTTGTGTAAGTTCCATTTGATCCACTAACTATCTGCTGTTGATTATTCAGTAAGGCAATTTCCATATTCGAACATGATGAACGTTTTAAAGCTGTTGAGCGAGCTAAAGACCGTGAAGACCTTTTTGAAGATTATAAGGAGGAACTTGAGAAAAAGGTGAAGCTCCTTTCAATGAACTTTCTCATATGATTGTTTCTGTTAGACTCTCAGATTGGTAAAGTGTGCGGGCTGTAGTTTATATGGTTTTTGGCTCCTCACAAATTGAGTTAGCGTTTCAGTTTGAGATAGACACAAGGTCCAATCTTTTAAACATGGCATTAGAGGCAGATCTATCCTGATGCTAGACTATTAGATGTTAGCCCACCTAGGTCCTGATGCTCCAGATGTCCAATCTTGCTGTGCGATTAATGTATTAAAATCCCACATCAGTAAGGTGTATGGGTTGTAGTTTCCTTGAATGATTTTGGACAATCTTCACCACTTGACCCAGCTTTTGAAGTTGAGTTAGGCCCATGGTGCATTTCATTAACAATATTCGTTCCATTCCCTCTGCAGGATGTCTTTTAGTTGTTCCTTTGTTTTTTGTTCTAGAGCAGAAAGAAGTGCTGTAAAATGTTCAACTTAACATCTAGTAATTTTTGAATACATTTTTAATGGTTTCTCAAGGGGGACAGCACATTTAAATTTGTTCACCATTGAATTTCAATTTTAACAGACGTTATTGGTATTTCTACACAGTTTCTTGTCTTCACTCTTTCGTCTTTCATGTATTGCATGTAATTTTGTTCAAAACTATGATATGCTTCTTCCTCTCCTCCTCCCCAAAAATAGAAGAAGCTTTTTAATACTTTCATGCACCTGTAGTTCAAGTCTCTTTTTTAGATATGGTCTGTTTTGAAGAGAAATTTTATTCTATTACTTTGTACTGGATTTTTATCAGGAGCGTGCAAGGGCATTGGAGGAGCAGAAGCGCAATAGAGTGGAGTATTTAGAATTCTTAAAATCCTGTGACTTTATTAAGGTATTAGTTCTAGTGGAATTAGCATCAGTTCCCATATTATTTCCAGGAGGTATAACTTTCATTGTTGCTGACTGATTTTGTTCAGGCCAGTAGCCAGTGGCGGAAAGTTCAGGACCGTTTAGAAGCTGATGAAAGATGCCCCCGCCTTGAGAAAATTGACCGCTTGGAAATTTTCCAGGTAGTTATCATTTTCTAATAAATTATAAATAGTTATTTTCAAACATCTCATTTGTGTGCCCCAGCTTTGAACTTATGTTGCAATCTTTTCTGTATTAGGAATATATACGTGATTTAGAGAGGGAAGAGGAGGAGCAAAGGAAACTGTGGATGGTATATTGTTAATTAACTCTGCGGTTAAAATTTAATTCATCTTTGGAGACTTCGATTTATCTGTTTCTCACTGGACATACACCATGGATTCAAATAGGAAGAATTGAGGAAAGCAGAACGTAAAAATCGTGATGAGTTCCGAAAACTAATGGAAGAACATGTTGCTGTGGGAACGCTTAATGCAAAAACTATTTGGCGTGATTATTGCATCAAAGTTAGTGGTTCTTTCTTAGTTTCAGTGAAAGTGATTACCTTCATGAGTTTCCTTTCTGTCTCTTTGAATTTCACATCCAAGAATTTCCTTCTTTATTTTGTGCTTGCAGATCAAAGATATAGCTGCATATCTAGCTGTATCATCAAATACTTCAGGGTCATCAGCAAAAGACTTATTTGCAGATGTTGTGGATGAGTTGGATAAACAGGTGAAATAGGTTGCTAATAGGTGTATTGAATTGTGTAAACTACATTATTACAGTGAGGCCTGAGCCCTAGCCCCTATTTATAGTGAACAAAGAATTGAGATGAGCCTAGCTCTGATGCCATGTTGAGGAGTGGATCTTATTGAGAAAAAATATTATTGAATTGTGTATCTGCATTATTACATTGAGCCCTATTTTTCGACACTACATTTCAATCCTGTTCCATGTAAGGTACTATATACAAATCCTATTCCTACTCCTCCTCAAGCTGGTTCGTACAAGTCATATGTACCGAGCTTGTAATAGATGTAACTACTACGAGGAGGGACTTGATGAGAATATCTGCAGATCACTCGACTTCACGAATTTCGTAACAATATTTCCAATGAGTCTTTTCTTTGACAACAATCAATCTCAATGTGCTTAGTCCTCCGGTGAAATACCGGATTTGATGCGATATGAAAGGTTGCTTTGTTATCACTCACAAGTTCCATATGATAGATTTCTCCACATCTTAGTTCTCTGCGCAACTGTTTAATCCATACTAGCTCACAAGTTGCTACAACCATTGCTCAATATTCTGCTTCTGCACAAGATCGAGCAATCACACTCTGTTTCTTACTCTTTTAGGACACCAAATTACCTCCAACTAACACACAATATCTAGATGTAGAACATCTATCAGAAGATGATCCTGGCCCATCATCGTCTATACCATTGCTCGATATTCTGCTTCTACACTAGATTGAGCAACCACACTGTGTTTCTTACTCTTCGAGGCCACCAAATTACCTCCAACTAACCATATTATCTAGATGTAGAACGTCTATCAGAAGATGAACCTGGCCCATCATTGTCTATATATCCAACAATCTGCTCATGGCCTTGATCTACCTAGAGCTGATTTTATAAATTGCAGAATGTTGACAACTGAATCCCATTGATTATCATAGGAAGAATCCATCAATTGACTTAGAACACTCACAGGAAAAGAAATGTCAAGTCCAATCACCGTGAGATATTCAACTTACCAACTAACTGCCAATATCTTCCAGGATCATTGAGTGGCTCACCCTTTCCTGGCAAGAGTTTAGCATTCGGATCAATAGGTCTACATCCCATCATTATAGTATCCTTAAGAATGTCTTAGGCATAGTCGCGTTGCGAAATAACAGTAGTGTAGGAATATCATACATTCCCTTGGGAAGACTGTCAACCGTTTCATTTTGAGTCTGACTGGTTTGTCCAGAGATGCATATAATACCTCCTTTTTCTTGTACCATAGCTTCATTCATTTCTCTGGATATCCATTTACTTTTCTGACAGTATCCGAGCTAAAATGACCTTCCTGTGTATTGGCTGTCCTCTGGCTTTAGTAACTGATGAATTTTTCAATCTAGCCAACCCTAGCAAATGCCATTTCAGGGACAATGATAACTGATCTTCTCCTTCCTTGATTGCTTGATAATGGTTATACTACGCCCTTGTTTGTTATAGTTTCTCGAGCAGAAGAACTCTGAGAAGTGATCACGAAACTTTCATGTTTTCACGTAGTTTCCTTTAGCTTTCGAGGTCTCCTTTAAAGTGTCACACAGCCACACCATTGACTTCCAGATATAAGTAGTTCTTTTGATCAAGTTTCGACCACGTTCCGTCCATTCGTACCACACCCAGCTTTGGTTTCACTTCCGATGATATCGTGTGACCCACCCAACACAAACTATTTTACGTCGCCAACCATCTTAACTGGACCAAGTAAACTTAGTGCCAGAATCCTCCCCCTCCCCCCCCCCCCCCCCCCCCCCCCCCCGAAGTGGTATTTGAAATGAAATGAAAGTAAGGCTTATAAAAATTTTAGCCTCGGAAAAAGTGCCCGAGAGTATCTCTGCTTCTCTAAAGTAAAGTATAAAGTTGCATCTCCCTCATGACTTTTTTGGCTGTAATAGACACTTGCGACTGACTAAACGATATATTGTTTCATCCTCTGCCCCTTCCAAAAAGAATTGAAGCTGAACGTTCAAATGTTATTAGCATTTATCTCTTTGCTTGATGAAAGAGGTAGTTTATGCTAGTATCCTAGCATAGTAATGATCCTGTTCATACTCTCTTTCAGTGATTGAATTTGGTAATGTTTTCTTGAGTTGGGCTCTTGTGGTGGGATGCATCCTTTTTTTCCCCTTTTAAGATAAAGATGCCACCATCTATCTTTAAAGTTTGTGTGCATAAATGACTGTTAACAGAGAGAGTCTCCAACTTTTTTTTACTATTATCCAAAGAGTGGTGCTTGATTTTCCTTCAGTTTAACCTGATCGATGCAATCATGTTTATCTGTCAATTGCATTTTGATATTGTAGATGACTCACTTTGAACAAATGGAGAAATGTTGGTGTTCATTTTTGTATCCTATTTTTGTTATTGATACATCATTGTGAATTTGTGTTACTTGTATGTTGCTTCAGTATCTTGATGACAAGTCACGAATTAGAGATGCAGTTAGGATGACTAAGGTAATCATCACTCTTCATTTTAAACCTCTGTTGTGCTTCGGCTAGTACCTAATGTTTTTGCTGAGCCGTCTCTGTTTTCAGATTGGACTGACATCAACCTGGACGCTTGATGATTTTAAGGATGCAATTGCAAAGTATATTAGCTCTCCACCAATATCAGATACCAACTTAAAGGTCTAATTATGGCTAAGCATTGTATACTGTTTCACATCAACCCTTGTTAGAATTGAATGTTATGTGAAATTAAAGAACACCATTCACTAAATGGATTTCTATAGACCTGTTCTTTTTTTTTGTCTTTGGGATAGGTGCTTGTAAGTTGAGTGGACTGAGTGCTAGCATAAGTAATACTTCCATGTCATGTTTCATTGGAAGTTGGTTAGTTTGTGAAAGCTAAAATGGGAACTCCTTGGTAGTCATCTGTGGTTAGTGGCATTTTCCTGTAGTATCAACCATAACCCATACCATATAAAATTTTGGATCTTCTTGTAATGGAGTTTATAGAAGACTTGCACGTCAGTTAGCAAGTAAACCTGAAACCTTCATACAAAAACCACATTGATCAAATACCTGGTGTTAGCTTTTGCTTCCAGTCTTCAGTTTTGGTACCATTTCCCCTAGTTAGTTTATTTATTTCCTGGATGGCGGTGCTTAATAGTACACCTACAGCACATATCTTAAGTTGCTTAATACAAAGCAATTTGCCTGGTAGTTTTCTGTTTTTATGGTTAGTGGATAAGAGTTTTACTCTATGAAAGATGAACAGCACAACTGGATGATATCAAAATCATATTCTATTTTTGTAATGAGGATATTCTCTCATTCTTCAAATATCATTGGCTTTTGGAGGTTATTTATGTTCATGGCGTGTAATTTATGTACGTGGGAAATGTGAATATCATTCGGCTTTTACCCTACAAAAGTGGTTAAACAGCATAACTGGATGATGTCAAAATCATTTTCTAATTTTGTAATGAGGGTATTCTCTCATTCTTCAAATATCATTGCTTTTGGAGGTTATTTATGTTCATGATGTATAATCTATGTACGTGGGAAATGTGAACTGCAAGGGGTATGTTGAAGAATTTGTGCTTCGACAGTAGGTTGGGTTTTTTTACTATACTTTCAATATCTCAAAACTTTTGTAAGGCATTTTATCAAAGATTATTATGTGAGGAGTTTCTCCAAAAATATGGTAATAGTACTTTACATTATATCCCCCTTGCCTTCCAAACGGAGGAATGAGAGGACATACATGGATTATGCTGAATTTTCTACCATGCTTTTCTAAACATGGATTATGCTGAATCTTCTACCATGCTTCCTTTCTAAACTTCTTATTTTACACTTTTGGGCTTTCTGGGTCATTGAGTATTGAATGTGCATATTTCATCTGCGTAGCTTGTCTTTGAAGAGTTACTGGAAAGGGCCAGGGAGAGAGAAGAAAAAGAAGCTAAAAAGCGTAAGCGTCTAGCAGATGAGTTCTATGAACTTCTTCATGCATCAAAGGTATATTAAACAGTTTACAATCTCTCACATTGCAATGGATGGGATCCCATGATGTTTTCCTTTAAACCATAGTCTATTTTTTGTTGTGGTTGCAGGAAATTACTGCATCGTCGAAATGGGAGGACTGTAAATCCCTCTTCGGAGATAGGAAAGGACCTACTTTTGCTTTTATTGATCTAGAATTAGTAATCATGGCTGCAAAGGTCACATCTTTGGAGATTGATAATTGATATTATTTTCAAGGACTAATATCTCCTTCAATATTCTAAACTGAGTAATTCACACAATCTAGAAAGTACCTTAGCATAATAGATGTGATGAATAATTTGGTGCTTTATATCCCTCAACGATTAAGTAGGTCATGTCTTTTACAGTATAAACATGAATTACCATTTCACTAAGTCACTTTTAATGTTACTCAATCACTCAAGAAATGGGTTGATATCAATTATTAGCTGTTCCAACACTGAGTGTTTAGTAGCTCTAGCAGTTGCTAGTTGTTTTACTTCTGATATTTGTGATTGTTTCAGATGAAGTATGCTGCTAAATCTCTAGTTTTAGATTGTCTAGCCTCTTTTGCCATAAATGAAATGCTCTTGCTATATACTTTTTTATTCATAATCTCACAATTCTCATTATGTAGTAACATTGAATGTGGATTTCTTTGCTGTTATTATTTTACAGAATAATGGGTGATGAGAGCTTGCTGCTGGAAATATTTGACAAATTTGTTAATGAACTAAAAGAAAAGGCAAAAGAGAAGGACCGGAAGCGTCAAGAGGATAAGGTACTTGAATTACTACAAACCCTTATTTCTCCTGCTAATTTCGGCTGGGGGTAGTAGATGTGGTGTGGGTGTGATTGTGGTTGATATGGTTTGTGATTGGAATTGTGGTGTGGGTGTGATTGTGGTAGATGTCGCGTGGGTGTGATTGTGGTTGATATTCTAGCCACTTCATGTGAATTCCCTTCTGAACAAACATGCCAAACTGTGTAATTACAGCCAAATCCAATTACAAGTTGGCCCTCCAAACAGGCACCAAGAGTTCTCTTTTTCTCTTTTCACAACCTATATGAGTGTAAAATAATGAAGCTTTCAAGTTGCTTTGTTGTATTGAGTGTGAGACAATTTTGATTTACAAATACAATATTTTCAAAGATGTTTGGGCTTGCTATAGTTATTAAAAGGATACAATACAGCTGATGGTGTGAGGCAATAATGTTTAATATGAGTAAGATTTTGGGCTTGCTATAGTTACTAAATGGAAGATTAATAAGTGCCCGTTTGAATTGACTTATTTTAGGTGCTTTTAAGCCAAAATAGCTTTTAAGCAGTTTTGAAGTGTTTGGATAAAGTTAAAAAGTGCTTATAAGAACTTATTTTAAAGCCAAAATAACAAAAATAAGCCAAAAGCCATAAGTTAGAAATCCTAACTTATGGCTTTTGGCTTATAAGTCATAAGCCAAAAGCCAAAAGCCAAAAGCCAATCCAAACAGGCTAGCACTGATGGTGTGAGGCAATAATGGTAAATCTGAGGTATCAACAATGAATATAATTTATAGTATCCGAATTAGGTTAATGACGGTTTAGACCTTTGGGTTTGGCGCTATCTGTCACGCGATTCCTTTCTTGAATCTTGTGAGGGTTCCATATTCCCATCATTCCCAAAAGAGGCATTTGATGGCGAGCATGGAAAGCCACTGTTCAGAAGGAATAGCTAAAAATAAAAACAAAAAACTCTGTATTCAGTTGAAGTTCACTGGCTCTGACATGTCAAGTTTTAATCTGAAGGCAAGAAAAGAGAAGGAAAGGAAAGATAGAGAAAAGAAGAAGGAAAAACATAGAAGGGATAAACACAGAGGGGATAAGAGCAGGAAAGAGAGAGAAAGAAGCAAGAAAGATAGTACAGACAGTGACAAGGAAATCAAAAGGTCAGGAAGTGACAGAGATAAGAGAGACAGTGACAAGGAGATCAGAAGATCAGGAAGTGACAGAGATAAGAAAGACAGTGACAAGGAGATCAAAAGGTCAGGAAGTGACAGAGATAAGAAACATCGCAAGCGGCATAGACGTTCCTCTGATGACGATGAAAACGAGAAAGATCATTCAAGAAGTTCTTACAGACATGACAGTGATTATAAGAAACTGAAACAGGTCTGATATCATCATTGATTATAACATTTTTCCTTTTGGCAACTCTGAATCTTTCTAATGTATAGAGATTTGATGTAATAGATGGACCAGCACAGCCGGAGTTTGGAAGCTAATTCGGAGGGCCAGCATAAGAAAAGAAAACGAGATCATCGGAGTGATTCTCATAGGGATGGTGACTATGAGGATCACAAAGATTGTGAATTTGGCGAGGATGAAGAAGTTTAGTAGCTTTTTTTTTCTTTTTCAAAATGATTTCTCAAATGCGCTTTTCATTGTGTACATATAATGTAGCGCGGTTTACTATCCCCTCCCCCAACCCCCCTAAAGAAAATAAACAGAAACAAAGTACTTGATGATAATGTTGTTTGACATTTAGTTGTAGCAAAGTCAATTCAGTTTTCTCATCCTTTGGGTAGCATTATTTTTGCTGGGGATATAATTTGGAAGGTACTGACTGATATATCGATTGAACCATTATTTGACTAGTTAGCTATAGGGGTGGTAATTGTGCGGGTTGGGTCAAATTTGGGTGGAACTTCTATAGGGCGGCAATTGGGGGGTTGGGTCAAATAAATGGGTAGGGCAGGTTAGGTTTGATTTTGTCACACCTAGTTAGCTATATGTTATGGATGAGCAAGACATGAAGAGTCTATGTGACTTGGTTAATGCGATTTTGATATAGTAGGAACACTTTGGAGTTTCTTCCCTTCTAGCTTACACCTTAGGTCAGAGAAGTTGTTCTTTAGGTCCTTATACCTTTGGCACTTCACAGATGTCTTACTCTGTAGACCATTATCTAGGAAAGGAGCCAGGGTATTCAAATAATTTCTGGTTAACTTATTTTCCTTTTATCATAGACTTATGTTTACATCATGCTCCCTTAATAGTTGATCACTTTGAACCATTAGTTCAAGGCTATTAAACCACTAATAAATGTCTGCTCTCTGTGGGTACTTTGAATTTTTTATTAATAATTGTTGAATCCTAATGGAAGCATGTTATCATCTGAGTATAAACAAAAGGATACTCTTTAATATCAAGCTAAATTTGTATTAGGTTCACTTCACTTACAATAGCACCCATCTCAGTTCCAATATGACTAGTTTGCAGATCCAAGTGCCTAGTTCTTCTTAAATCGTATTTGAGTAACACAACTAACTCTGTTATATCAGTGGGAGAAATTCCCCAAGAGTGAAATTTACCAAGGTTTGATTCGAGTGTTAGAGATCCAAACATATCTCTGATTTTGTGGAACTATTATATATACATAATCTAGTGATACTTTAAAAATACAAAGAAGGCTCTAAAGTGCCTATCAACTATTTGAATAGGTACAAAACTACCCTTCATTCACCTTTCGGTCTCCAAATACCTCCAACATCAATCTTTGGGCTAAAAAATACTCTCAATATGAACCTTTTGGTTCATATTTGTTCTTGTTTTTAACATATCCCCTAAAGTAAAATCATTAATAATTTATTAGTATGTTGCCTAATCTGATTGGTTTAAATTTAAACCTTTCTGAAATAAATAATAAAAATCACATATGATTCATATTTTGATATGATACACATGAAAATAATATTCAAAAAATTATTAATTTCATGATATCTTCCTATTGACCTATTTTAAAACAACTTTCAATTTATTATAACCCAACTCATATCTGGAGATCCAACTAAAATTCATACTCGCGCCGTCTATTTGTCCATCTAAAAAAGGTTAATTATAATTTTTTCTATCAATCATCCAATTGTCTTGTCCATTCCCTCTTTTTATTATTTTAATCTCTCATTTATGAGGGACTCGAACTTGGAGTGAACTTAGATGTTCATATTTTTTTAATTAATATTATTATAATGGTGGGGGTGGAGAAAAAGTTATTTTCTTTCTGTTATTTTGAATTATGAGTACAAGCATAAGAAAAATACAGTGTACGTACATAATTACTTAACTAAATCATCTTCTATTGAACTAATTATTTCTATATAAATGTCGTCGTTATTTTTCTCCTTTTTTCTTCCTTGTTTGTCATAATTTTTTTTTAAAAAGTTGAAATCTAAAATGGTGCACAAGATCCAAGAGAAAAAAAGGTGGAAGAGAGAGGAAGTGGGGGGGGGGGGGGGGGGATAATTGTAGATGGTAGTGAACTAACATTTTTAAAGAAAAAATAATTTGTTGTGGAACCTAAAATCAGGCCAATCATATGAGCCCATATTTTAAGTGATTTCAGATTATTTTAGCGGAGAAGGGCATAAAATGCCTTTAAACTATTAGATTTGGTATAATATTTTCCTCCATCTACCTTATGAGTGTGGGCCATTAGAAATATTTATATATATATTAGCTAAAAGGTTGACTTTTGGGGTATTTGAGGGCTGAAAGGTGGATAGAGGGTAGTTTTGTACCAACTCAAAAAGTTGAGGGACATTTTAAGCCCTTCTCAATTAAAAATATTATCCGATGTAGCTATACTTAGGGTTTTATAAAAAACCTCTCCTCTCTCACTCGACATTCCCCTCCTCTTTCCCTCTCCCGCTTTCCTCTTTGCTCTCATATTTCCTTCTCAACCTCTCTCTCCTGCTCTACAATTCATTTTGTGAATCTTTTTTCATTTCCCTCTTTGTTTCTTATATTAATGTGAAGTTCCATTAAGGTTTTACTCGAATTATTTTTATCTACGCTTGTGATTCTTGGTCTTCAATATTTTCTAGGTGGCTGCTGATTGTTGATTTGAACAATTATCTCAAATTGAGAAAGAGTATGTTTTATACATTTGAACATGAGTATATATTTATTGGGAGTAGTATTGAGCACTGATACAAGGATGAGTTTAGACAACTCAAATTCCTCATAAACCATGTAGCCAACATGGGTAATGAATCATACTTTTTAGACGACTCTTTATTTCTTTTGAGTAGAGCTTTAGTGGATTCACTTAGTTGAGATGTTCTATATCCCAACAAGATATAGGACAGTTCTGGCAGCATGGGTCAGACGTTGTATCATCGCGTTGCTCAAAGTGATGGTTGTCGGTTAGAGAATCTTTCAAATAGAGTCAAAAGTGTATTTTTATCATATCACTTAATATGTTGAGTTCATAGATGAGTAAATTCGTAAAGTTTTAATGATTTCACTCATTTATTTCTTTACATTCAGTTGAGTATCTTGCTTCAGCTTCTTTAGCTTAGTTATTTATTTTCCTCGACAATATAACATACTCGTATATTCAAGTCATTCGACATACTGTTTCATGATGTAGATATAGGTGTTTAGGATCATCAACAAACACTTCGTTGAGATCACTTTGCACTTCTTGCTAGCTTTGGTGAGCCTTCCTTGATTTCAGAGGACTCCACTCTTGTCTTTTAGTTTAGTAGTTTTGAGGTGTCATGGGTCTTGTCCCAACATCCATGTTGAACTATAGAAGCTTCATATATAGTTAGTGTTGAGTTCTTTCAGTGTTTCCTTTGAACTGTTTTGGCAAACTATTATTGTTTCAAAGTATTTTCGCACAATTTTGAGTATACTATTTTGAGATAGTTTGGATTTGAGAAGTTTTGAGACTTTTGAATTTAAACTTTGTTTTAAAGCTTAAATCTACTTGAGTTAGTCTTCTGCTAAGTACATAGCCAGGCTAAGGGTTCACTTGGGAATCAACAATAATTCTCAAGTGCCGGTCACGTCCAAAGTGTAGGCTCAAGGCGTGACAAACTTGGTTTCAGAGCCCATAATTTATGTGTCCTGGCCTGGCTGTCTATGAAGCTATGTCAGTAGGATCTTATTTATTGTTTTTAAATGGCCACACTTCTATAAATAAGGGACTACACACATTTAAGAAAAATATTCATTCTTTCATATTCTAAATCGTGCAATAGAATTGTGTCATAAGGAACTTATTCATACTCGTGCCATTTATCAAATCCACTCTACTACCCCTCATACTCAATGTGATTTAAATAGCAAATCCCAGATCATTATCGATGAGTTACCCTAAGATAAAGTCTTCAGAAAGTCAAGAGCTTGTTAGTGTGCTTAAGTGTACTGATTTGAAATAATACACTCTCATTCATATGAATCGTGCGTTCAAAGAGAGATGTTCTCCTAGACTCTCTTCTCTAAACCTTATTCAGGCGAGATCCTTATAAGAGAAGTGTGTTTTATAATGCTTGAATAATATTGTCGCCCGAAAGATAGTGTGATTTGCGATATTATGAGCTAGTAATGGTAGGAGTTCCCAAAAATAGAAATATGCATTTAGAAGTGTAGTAACTTAAGAGGTGGGGATAGTTATAGAGTAAAGTATTTAGTTGTAATAATGTACCTACTAAGTCATTAATAAGGTAATTTCCCTTTATGTGTTGGCTAAGGAGTAATAATTTTGTGTGGATTTCATGATAAAAAGTAGAGAAATAGTTACTGGCCAGGAAGAGTTAGAGTATACTTTAACCAGAAGGGAGTTTATGTTAATGTGTCAATGCGTTAGTGAAGACCAAGTATCGTGTTAAATAAAAGAACAAAGTATTCATGAGGTGATAAATCTAAGCTAGGCATATCATTTTTTTAGGGAGACCCCATGATATTCAGAGGGTTATAAAACTAATTAGGCAATGATGTATAGTGAATGTGTAAATAGTACTTAAGTTGTGAAAGGGAATGTGAGGTAAACTGTAAGTATGTAGACTGAGAGATAAATATTAACTACTTTTCATGAGGTCTTAATGAGCAAGTGTTTCTTGATTTTATCTAGTAGTCGTAAGTTAGTATAGTATGTGAGCAATTATATTGATATATGTGTTTAGTACTAGACAATAAACTTAATTTGAGATGAGTTTCGTGATAAACAAAAGGATGGCAACACGAGGGTGATGATGTTAGTTTTGAGATCTGATTTAATAGGGTTGACATAAAGTAGGTGAGGAATTAAGATGTTAGTTGTAATGAATGTGTGTGGTACAAGTGTGGTATTATGATCCTTGGATGAGGGCAATGAAGTGTGGCTAAGTCATTAGATTAACAAGAGCATTGCGAGGTGTACCTGAGATTGTATATAGTCAGACAATGTTCTAATAGTGTTTATGATTTTTTTTTTGTGCCTAGATAATATATTTGAGCTATCAATGTGGGGGTAGACTAATGTAAGCATTAATTATTACCCTTAAGAGTTTGGTCGAAGGAATTATATATAGTCAATGATGAGCCCCTTAAATATAGTTCAAGTTTCTTCTAGTTAGGTTGATATGAACTCAAAAGGATGATATTAGTAGGCTAAGAAAGAGAATTCAGACTATTAAGAGTTAGATTAAGCGGCCTTATAAGCCAATGGGAATGTCACGACCCAAGCCTAGGGCTTAGACGTGACCGGCGAATGGGGAACCCGAAGGAACCCCA